CCCCAGAAATGCTGATTTTTGGTCAAAAAATCGGTTTTGAGATACGCATGGAAAGGTAGCCTGAAGGGTCGACTTTCAGAATCTATATCGCTTTTGCTTACAAAAGTGGTTTTTCGCTGATTATGAACAAGTTTTCTAGGAGCCTCGAAAAAACGGATCTTCAAATAATAGTTTTTTCCTGGATACTTATACAATTAAAATTTTTCGGAACACACAGATGCGTAGAGCAAACGTTTCTGATCAAAATAAATCCTCGTACAACCTGTATGACCTTGCATCACGAAGTTACAGGCATTTTTCTAGAAGTCTTAAAACTGAGCGTTTTATTCGGCGTTTAATACACCGTTCTGTCTACATGGAAGTTATACCTGAAGTGTGTCCCAACATTTTTAATAGCGGTTTGTCGTAGAGAGTTCATTCTTTTTTTGTTTAAAAGAGGAAAAGAAACTACATGAAAAGTCAAGCGCCGATTTTTGAATTAGGTCATAGTTTTTTGTCAAACAGAGTATTTTTAGAAAATCCAGAAGGTTTTGGAGGTTGTTGGTTACCTGGAAAACCAATAAAGGCTTAATTAAAAATCGGCTCCTGTCAGTCCATGTAGTTAGGTGTCTAGTTTAAAATAAAACAAATCTGAATTCTCCAGTTTGAAGTATATTACAAAATCTTCGGACACACTTCAGGGTTCTTTTTGAACTTTGATCTCTGGAAAACTCCTGAATCGTAAGACTCGGAGACAAAACAATTTTTTCATTCCCGTAACTCATTGTGCCTAACATTTACGGAAAGTTTCGTCAAGATCGGCTGTACAGTGTTAGAGATAATTTCTGATAGGAGGAGCCCTTAAATTAGATGTATTTGTTCTTGTCTTTTAGGTACGTGAACACATTTTTGCAATTATTGTTAGCGTTGTTACTAAAACACCGCTATGTATTATTGGCAGTCCTGGTCGATCAAAAACATTGTCCTTTCAAATTGTTGTTCAAAACTTGCAAGGTAAGACAATTTGTCAATTTGTTAACAGTACGGTTCAATGTTCTTTACAGGTCTGCAACTATCACCAAGAAAATTTTGTCGTCGATTACCCGCTGTGGATCCGTTTTTCTGCATGGGATCTAAATACAGCAGTGCCGAAGATATTGTAAGTTTAATGTTTACATTATGCACATTCTCTCTATAACGTATATTCTATAGTCAACAATATTTGAACGAGCCATCCGACGTGAAGAACAATATCAACAAAATCATATGTCAACGCGATGTGTAGTATTCTTGGGTATGTATAGCTATTCTAATTGGTGATCGTTCCACGACTAGCGAGTGGAAGGGTGCCGGTTCCCGTTAAGAGAAGCTTTTTCATTAAGTCTTAGAATCAAGTTCTATCACATCACAGTGATTCGTCACCATCAAATCGGCAAATGTTAGCCTCGATCGTGAATTTAATTGCCAAAAGAAAATTTGAAAGAGTTGCTGTAAGAAACAGTGTTCGCGTCAAGACCGACAGAGATCTTGTATCATCTCGAATTTGGGTCGATCACAGTAAGAATATCCCAGCTCTTCCACAATTAGTGGATAGAAACCATGTGCACATAGCTTAGCAATCCTGGTAAATATTTGGAAGTCGTGAGCGTTTACCGTATGAGCGCATCAAAGTCGCCATCGTTGTTATAAAAAGCTACTATTGAATAGGAACACTATTGTAAATGAAGTAACGAAGATAAATCTCGTACATTGAAAGGTATCCACTCTTCTCGTTTTTGTGTCAGTAGAAAATCGTGAGAGAATGTTGGAATAAGTTGAATTTTTTCTCAGACCTAAACCGATGATATTCTTTGGTTAGGGTACTTCAGTGGGTTCTTAGGTGAGTTCTCTGAATCTTATTTTCTAGAGCAGGAAAGAGAGGCTGGCAACCCTTAAAAAAATCCTTTTTCCATTCAAGATTTCCTTTCTTCGTTCTGCATATTTAGATGAAGCATTGTTGCCATCACAGAAGAAAATGGTGTTGAAAATCTTACATCCATATTTGGACGAATGTCGCGTTTCGTTTGTTGCCATTGCAAATAAACCGGTACATCTGCTAAAAATTCACAATTTGGCTTATAATTGAGTCTCTGATTTTAGTTCGACGCGGCCAATGCAAATCGTATGATGTGTGTTTTTCGTTCGTTACCATCGGAAGATGACCAAAAAATACTTGCCTATGGCTGTCTGGGTCTGAATTACGAAGATGTAGAGATCGAGACGAATTTAAAGAATATAATATCAGGTCTGTGTAATGGGTATCAGAAACTGTTACAATCTTCGGATATTCCTCGTGTATTTCACGATCGAGATTTCATTTATATGTTACGAGAATTACGCTTGGGATTGAATCCAATAACGCAAACATACGACCAAGATCAACAATGTGTCAACAGCATAACACCGCTAGGTCTTTTACGCTCGTTGGAAAACAATTTTAACGGTATTCCAAGAGCACAATTTCAAATATTAGTGGAAATATTTTTCAAATGTATACAAGAGGAATGTCGCCGTCAGTATGATTTTAAATTTCCATCGAAACAAGATTATCGTGATATAATATCGATTCTGCATGATTCAATGGAACTTGATTCAAATCGTCGACGTTTATACGGTCGTTATAAACTGATTATCGATGAAAGTGAAGATGAATCGGCAGCACATCTACTGTATCAAGTCGGTATTTTAAATGCCACAACAACCAGTGAATTTCGTTTGTCTGATTTTACTGATGATATCAATAATGAATTGCGAAATGTTAAAACATTATCCGATATTAAAATGTGTATGGAAACGGGTAAAACGATTCTTATGATCAATACGGGTCGCTTACATGGCTCGTTGTACGATGTTTTTAATCAAAATTTTTCAATAATGGCAACTGCTAATGAAAGAAAAATATTTTCAAAAGTAGCCATAGGTCCCAAAACCTTGGATTGCATTGTGCATGAACAATTTCAATGTATTGTACATGTAAAACGTAGCGAATTCTCCCAAATACCAGCACCATTTCTCAGTCGATTTCAAAAGTATTCATTGAGTATCGAAGACTTTTATCGCATACAACTGGAACAGCTGCCAGTAAATGAACAACAAATTATGATGAACGTTGAAGATAAAGTCAAAACATTTATTGAACATTACGGCAGACAATATTTCTACGGCTTAACAGATAATACACTGTATTCTTGTTTATTGTTAATGATCAAAATTAAACAAAAAACAGCAACACAATATGAATCAATGCTGAAAATCAACACTGACCGTGTGAAAACAGAAGAACAATATAACGTTAATTCAGGTAAGAACAGCTTTCTTTCCAACCTACTGTACTTGATCAGTAATATGATCGATTTTGAAGATTTATAGTTTAACCGAAAAATTTAGATTGCGTACTTTTGGTTTTTGTTTCTATTGTCTGCCAGAAAACAAAAGAGGAAATAAAAAGTTGAAGAAGCCGTTAGCATAATATGGTTAACTACAGCATAGCGCTTCTGTCATTATTTCTCCTGTGTAGCTTTATGACTGTGTGGAGTTTATTCCTTCTGCTTTATTAGTGAACATTTGGGGATATGGTTTTTCGCTTCTTCTATTAGAACGTTCAAGTAACTGTGCTTAGATATTGACGCTGCATTATTGTCGAATTTTAAGCTAAATCATTTCTCACTGGAACAGTCGTTAAACTATTTCTCAAAAACTGTTTTCCAAAAACCCCAAAGCTTGAAAATTCTCTCGAAACATTTTCTCGAGCTGTCTCGATTATACCCTGTAAAGTTTCTTAACAACTGTACGCGATGGTTTCACCGAGGTACAAATTTTGTAAAATTTTCTATTAGCAGCGTTTGAGAATAATAAAACTGAAGTTTTGTGTATTTAGAAGCTGATAATGAATATCAAACGTCACAAGAAGAAGGTACACAAGGAATTTACGCAAAAGCTGATTCGATCGTTTATCTCGATCTGCAGCACTACACACAACTGATGATTCGATCAAAATCGATCATCGAACAAAATCCAGGTGATACCCATCAATGTCTATTACGATCGATTTTATGCAGACTCATTCAGTTAGTATCACCTGAGAGTTTGGCCTTGAAATTACCGACATTTGTCGATTCAGTATCGAAATACTTATGTACTAATTATTTTCACAATCAAGAACATTTCACATTGGAAAATTTCATTCAACATTTGACATCGTCCACGGAAAATGATGCATCCGATTCTACAGCTCGTTCAACAACAATAACAACAAAAGTAACGATATTTACACGTACATCGTCTTATGTTCTCAGTCTGAATAAATTTTCAAAACAACAGTTATTTAGTAATTATATTAGTGACAATGTTGACATACTAAATTTGACTATAATTGAGAATGCAGCAGATTTAGAAGAAAAATTTGAACTGTTCGAACAAGATCAACAGAAAAATGTTTTCGTTATTGTAATTGATACCCAAGTCGGACAACAGCATCAACATATTCCATTTATTCGTCAACTAATCGATAAAACCGAAAACAATCACAACTCATGCGCATATCGACAACGTGAGTTTATTCGAAAATATTTTATCATGTTATTACATTCACCCGCCACTGAATTGTACCACCAAGCATGTTTTCCATCGATATTTTTGAACAATTGGGACTTCTATTTTTTCGATACATGTTCACCAGGTTCGGCATTTCATTTACAAAAAATGCTTCAAATATTGTGTTCTTCACAGCAACAACAAATTGATTATGACAGTGAATCACTGTGTGATTTGAACGCGTTATTCGACAGCGCGCTATGGGATTTTTCTGGTCGTTTGCAAATATTCATACAAGAAGTACCAACACTAGTTAATAGTCAAGATTTTTATAAACTTCATACAAACATATCGAAACGTGTTCAATGTTTAAAAAATGTTTTGAGAAAATGCACAAAATTGCAACAACGGATTGTCAACACGTATCATGAATCATTATCAACACAAAACATGTATAATATGATATATCAAACGTCAAAAGAAATTTTATCCGGACGAAAATTCGATGGTCTTGTCGACTCTATTCAACATCAGATAGAAATATCATTCACTACTTTTACATCGAATATACTAATACATCTAGTCAATGATTATGGACTGGAAACACTGTCGAGAGCGTTTTCAGCGTCGAATAAGAAAAGTTATGAAGTAATGTTGAATCTGATTGATTATTCATTGTTCATTAATAATGATAGTGCTAACAATAAAAACCAACTGTTTCAAATTTCTATACATTATCCATGTGTCCCTACTACACCCCTTTACCATTTGTTCCATCAACGAATTAAAGCACATGCTGACGATTTAAAAGCTAAAATAATTGGTAAGATTTTCACGTCAAGAATATGGCAGTACGATATTCGAAGCATTACTTATTCTTTTTGCTACAGAATATTATGTTTCATTTGAGTTTTTACCAGTTTATAAATCATAAAAATCCAAGGGGGAGAAAACAACACGTCACTACAGTACACTACACGTTTGCCACTGCGGTAGTGGCGTTGTAGTGGTTACGTAGTGGATGTGTAGTGAGGTGTAGTAGTTGAGTAGTGCGCACTCCTTTGTAGTGTAGTTACCCTGTAGTGTGGTATATGTTTTTTCCCTCTTGCAAAAATCTCTCATTTGTCCGTTTTTTTCACTGCACGATGCAAGGTTTTAGATTACGCCCGTGAAACTTTTATAATATAATCAGCTTTTTCAGCTCTGTCACATGATTGATTCAGATTTTCTTGACACAGTTTAGTTTAAATGCAAATTAAGCATGCATTGAAGCTACCATGTAATTAATACAAACGACAAAACTAGCATGATAAAGTCCTGCAAAAGTATACTCTTTTTACCTGAAATTCCCAATCCAAGATCTACTCACGTGGATTTTTTAAGAGACATTTAGTGAAAAAAATTGCGAAAACTCGGATCTGTTGTTTTGCAAGAACCTATAGTAAAATGTCTTAGGTAACATCACACGCATGCATTTCTTCTGCGTTTTTCTGCAGGAAAAAAAATGTTTGCGATAAAACGCAAGAAGATGTCGTTGTTTTTCATGCATGAAATATTACTGTCTGTGATTACACCAATAAAGCTTCATGTGGCTCTCAGACAATCATCTAATCCGCCCACAGGCAAGCCACGCAGCTCATTCCCAGATCGCGATCTGCTGTCCGCAGTCTCCTCTCTGCTAAGAGACGTCACTTACAGAAATCTCTAACTAAACTTTCAATGGCAAAGGACCGTTTATATAAATATAAAGGTAGCACATATTCAGCTTTTTCAAATTATAGACTGGTTATGATAACTTGCCGCAATGAGTTATTGTTCTTTTTGCATTGTTAAACCAAAACGTTTCCTGTGAAAATTGTTTTGAAAAAGCACACGCAGTATAACGCAAGAAAAGGATTCTGCGATAAAAGACAAAAAAGGCATCGATTTTTGTTGATTTTTCCGGGAAAAATATCGCGTAAAAAAACGTATATAAGAATCATGCGTTTTCTTTGTTGCGTTAGTGTGGCCAAAAAACGCACATTCCTGCAGAAGTCTTGGAAAAAAAATTGGCATGGGTGCCATTTATTTGTGGCGATTTTCGACAGAAGCTGAGTAATGATTACAGCTTACTCCCCGTTCGTTATTTTTTGGTTAAATGGCGTACTACCCTTTACATGGGGCTTACCTTTAACAACTCCATAGAGCTTAAGATATTCTCCGTGTTTTTTTCTTGGCTATGAGCAATTGTTTCTGACAGAATTTCGTTTGAGTGCAAGGAGTCATTTGCTCATTACCTCAAATTTACTGATATAATACTAGCGACTAGCCAGATTTACATTACTTGATGCAAATTTTATTCCGAACAGTTTCGTCATCAGTTGAATATAATCACATTATAGGTTGCTTCAATTCACGAGAGATCAATAGTATGAAAGTGAGAAATTGAATGGAATACAAGTTCTATTTTTAAGTTCAAGAAGAAGTCTACAATTAGTGTCGACCCTGAGAAAAGTGCTCCTGTCTTTTTTAATATTTCGATCGCGATAATTCGCGAAAATGGAACTTGTTGAGCTAAATATCGGTGAATGTTACCATTAGTTTTGATAAATTTTGTATAAGTGGGTATAAAAGTGTGGAAAACCACGTTCTACGGTACATTTAGGTAAACAAAATGAAGAAATTGATCATAACCTTCGCGCAAAAAAAATGGAAAACACTACTGACTACTTGATTGATATTCGATCGGAATTGTGTCGTACAATATGGAATAATGATAAAGTACTAAGAGAAATAATAATTGAGCTGGATCAAGATATAATCAATACATATTCGGAAGATTTGATTCGAACATATTGTACAATAATTGAAAAATCATATGAGAACACTAGTGCATCCAACAATGCTGAACCAGATAAGACGATTAACTTTATTTCAAAATGGTTACAATTAATTGATGATGAAGATATGAATGACTATAATGAGTCTGTACATAAACAAATTTGGCTAGTGAGTCATGTTTACACGTCGTTTGAATATGATAGAAACGATCTATTATCACTATATACAGCATCACGAATTTTAGATAATTTTGATCATAATCGTCAGGACAAAGAGATAGAAGAAGGTTTGTCACGTGTCGAATTTCGCGAAAGTGTTTTTCGTCGAATGTTTGATCTTTTATGGTCAAAACTGATCAAACTTTGTTCCGAAAATGATCAACATCAAATAGAATTGTGGACACAAACATATGCGTTCATTAATAAATACTTTCCATCTAATAAAGTACTACATCGTGCTCAACTGACAAAAATAAAAACAAAAATTGAATTTATGCATCTATCCTATCTAATACTATTGAATGAACAATTATTAAGACCATTTGAATTAATTTCGGCTTTGTTAGACGAAAATAATTTGCTTGATACTAATACTGATGTTAATACTGGATGTTTGAAAATTCTGCAGAAAATAATTGAATTAATTCAAATGTATTTACAAAAAGAACGTATTGACGAATCACATACAACGTTGATGATCGATATTATTCAGTGGGTGCTTACACTTGTACCATCAGTTAAAGAAATCGAATATCTTTTAACGTATTTACATGAAATTTGTCAACTCCGATTACCAATCAAACAATTTTTGTTTGATCAGTTAGCTACTCTGCTGGTTGATTTCAGACAAAAGCCTATTAATAAGCAACAAAAATTTGATATAGTGGATAAAATAAGACTACTACTACCCACTGTCGTGCAGTGCATCAATGAACAAGCGACGTTAGATGGATATGTTTTACCCTATCATCCGTTTGTTATTATTGACGCAGAACGACAAGGCCATACGTTAATTGATTTACTCTTTTTCATCTCAGAAATCATTTGAATGCTGAAACAATAATAAAATACGACTTTGTGAACAAACTAATGCTAATGCCTCCACCGAAGGTACAATTGAAATGTTTACAGCCAACACTGGAGAAGCTGCACAAACAAATCAAAGATTATTTCGTGATACGTTTCACAGGTAGTAACATTTAGCTACAGCATAAAACTTGGTTAAAAAATAGTCTGGTTCCAGGCATCACTGACCATTTCAGTATAAAAGGCATCTGCTTATTTTATGAATAACGCGAGAACGAAAAGAGTTGCTATAGACCTGTGGTTTCCACTGTTGTATAGACAAGACCTTACTGCATGTTTTTTGTCTGAACACGTTTCTGGAAATCGGATTTTAGCTGGTGCCCCTAACAAATCTTTGAAAAATTAGCTCGCCGTTGAAAAATCATTCATACAGCTCTCTACTTATTTCTTCAAAAATCTCTACTACGTCCATTAGTGCTCAAAGTTTTATTCTTAACTGAAAACACACAAACTAATTTTCTGCATGGCAGCGTATTTGGTTTTCCAATGCAAGTCACAGGTCTCTAGTTATTACGGTTCGGGTACTCCAGCACATTAGCTGGAATCTACTTAATGGACACTTTTTGCCACTTGGCAAAAGCATCGAAACATATGTAATCATTGAACATCGTAGAATTGTTAGTTTTAAAATCAATATTAAAGGAAATATAACAAAGAAATTTCTCATTTAAAGTCTATTGTTAAGGTTTGAGCACCTTCGGACTTGATTTGACAGATTCAGACAGACTACTGTACGGTAGTATTTGACGAAAAATGGATGTTCATAAAAAATTTCTGTATTACATTTCCTTTAACTTTAATTTCAAAACCAACCGTGCCACGGTGTTCATCGCGGCCGATTACATATGTTTCGATGCTTTTTAGGTTACCAAGTGGCAAAAAGCGTCCATTAAGTAAATCCCAGCAAATGTGCTGGAGTACCCGAACCGTAATAACTACAGACCTGTGACTTCCTTTGATCGATAGAAGACACTCTACGCTATCATGCTATGGAGAAATAAGTAGAAACTTGTATAAATCACTTTCCAATTGGAGCGTAGAACCATATACGCTGCCGTATATAAAAATTAGTTTCTGTGTTTTCAGTTAAGAACAAAACTTTGAGCACTAATGGACGTAGGTGGAAAAATGTATAACACAGTCTTCGGTTATTTCTTTGCCGTTCGTTAAACAAATTGCACCTAGATTTGTTATGTAAAAATCATTTTCTGAATATTCTTAGATATTCTCACCAAACACGTTGAGTTCGTAAATATACCCGACTAAAATATTTATGGATGATTTTTACAAGACGGTTGACATTGTTCTGAATGTTCGGTAAATGTACGAAATATCGCGTTCTAATTGACTAAAGGTATTCTTTTATCAGTCATAATGTCAATATTTGCTTGATTTGATCCATGCAGGTTTTTTAGCAAAAAATGCTACAAAAATACTTTCCTGGACGATCTTAGTTGAAAAAAATTGTGTTTTGACCGAAAGGTAAAAGCAAATTATTCTAAGAAAATGTTGATAAGAGTGAAGAGTGAACCAATTTGAAGAGAATGCGTTTTTCTGAAATTCCTGCAACAAAAAGTACAGAATATGTGAAAATACTTTTTCACCGTTTTTCCATTATTTTCTATGATCCGAAACATATTTTTCACCCAGCAAGTGCCTCATACATCCTAAACTCTGGCTGAAACAACTCCACTGTCGAGATTATACCAGCTGGCAACCTTTGGATTTCAATGGAAAAGAAACTATTTGACAGATATTGTGATAAATGTGAGCACTGACTAAGAGCGTTTTTTGTCACCGTGAACAAAGGAAACGTTTGTTGTACAGTAGCGTTGTTGTAGAGCTTTAAATCGACTATGCACTTTCAAAGAAAACTCTAGGCATGGACAGATCCTGATGCCAATTAGTTGTGGTTAAACTTTTGTTATTTAGCATTGTTACTATGTGAGCAAGACTATGGTGATCATTCTCCTCAGTGGTGTCGCTTAATACAAACAATAATAGCAGAATATTTTTCTACTGATCAACAACAGCAGTTAGGCGATAACACAAAATTATTTTTATCAACGATAATCATGAAACGCTCATGGAATTATTTGTTAAGCCTATTAAAATCAGATTTTTTTCAAATAAGAATTGGTCACAAATGGTCAGTATATATTCATCATCTATTAGAAGTAAAACATAATAATACATTAGAACAAAATGGTTTGTTGCACATGTGTGATCGAATTGAGTTCACACTGCCTTTATCCGATAATCTACAGCAGCAATTAATATTTCCAAAATTAAATCAATATTTCGATGAGCTAAGTAAAATATTTCATTTGTGCGCAAATGATCATACACAACGGTGGATGCCGTTATTGAATTGGTTCCAAACGAAATTAACCTCAGATCCGTGTTTGTTAGAATCCAACGAAATAAAAGCACTGATGATATTGATTATCTATTATAATTATTATTGCGCTGATAAGTTGTCGACGTTGAACATCTTATTGGAAACACTAGAAAGCCACCATGCTGCAATGCTAAAATTATCATTGGAAGAACAACGTTTATTTCGTGTACTCTTAAAACCCACGCAGTATATGATAGGATATGATGATACCGAAGAAAATTATTTGAACAAGCTATTTAAACTTGATTGCAAAGCCGATGATGAATTATCTATTAGACATTCGATGGTGAATCTAATGGCAATGATAGTATTAAGTGGTAAAAACAATTTTCTATGGACGTTCGCATTTCAACCATTATCATTACAAAACACCTTTGGTATGCTTAAAATAAGTCTACCGAGTGCTTTGTTCTAAAACCCTATCTCATTTAGGTTTTGGTTCGACAGCTTATCTAGTTATTAAAGCAAATGGTGTCCACTACGATTGCGGATGTATGTACAGCCTATCTCCTTGAATAATACGGCTTCCTATTTTATGCAAGCTACTCATTGATGTTTTCTTTAATCCCTGTATCGAGTGATCTCAAAAAACTTTCCTCTACATCTGGCCTTACAGTCGTGTTGGCTTTAGTGATTTCCTTATTTCAAACATCATATGCATCCTAACTTTTATTGTTTGTCGGCTTTTTTTCTTTGAATTTACTGTGAGAAGAACCGAGTTGTGATAACACGTTATCAGTTACCTACTCTTGTGACGTGCATCGTGATTTGCCAGCTATCTGTTATCAATCTGCAGATGTCTTGTAGAGCGAAGTGATCTTTTTTATCATTTCTCAGATTTACCGCATGCTTTGTCCCTTACTAGCTGCATCGAGTGTGTACCATTTTATCTCTCGCCTTGTGTAGAACCTGTTTTAAACAACAGATCGCTTGGTACGGCTTAAAAATATCGTTTTCGGCATGGTGAGGTTTTTAACTTGAATACAGATTGATCACGTTCAGGACAAATATGAGTGGAGGCACTCGGATCGAGAAAAAGTTTGGACAGAAAAATATTATTGTTGTGAAAAAACAAAATTTTTCAGTATTGGATGAGGTCGTCAGCAGAATCTCCGCTGGTCGCGACAGTCCCACTTGAATAAGTTAAAGTGCTTGCTTATACAAGATTGAATGATGTTAAAATACATGTGTTTTCAGGTGCTGTCCATATGTTACGTAATCAATTCGGGGGTGTGTTACTATTAGGCCTTATAGCCATAGATGAAAGGAGGTCAATAATTAGTTTTACTTTGAACTGAACGACTCTTTTGAGTAGCCACATCAAAGAATGACTCAAAGAAGAAATGTTGATTTTAGTCTCCTCGATGGTGCGAAGGTGTCTTGCTCGCTCACATCATAATCTTTCGGCGAAGCTTCGAAATCCGGCTTTTTTTTGGAGTTATAATAAACCGACTGGAAAATTTTTGCTAAGACTAATCTGCAGAAATATGAACTTAGCAATTTTGATCACTCTCGCGTGGATCGATGCACAATGACCGCTTCATTGCGATCGCCCCAGTGTTTTCAGAATTTTGAGAAGTAGCTAAAGCCCATGTCTTGACCAGCCTGAAGTCAGACAGAGCACTAAAGGTAAGCCAGATCCAATCAATATTGTCCTCATGTGCGTTATATTGCAACATTTCATCTGAAAAATTCAACAGAAGTTTTTGAGATTTCCCTTAGTCTTCTTGGAATAGAATGACTACGCAAGCATTGGGGATTAGAGGGTAGCACATGATTGCACTTGTTTACAATGAGGAAGAGGTCAAAAGTCGAAAAATTGAGTATGTAATCTATAGACATGAGAAAGTTGATCTTACCATCATACCATTCACCTAATCAATTCAATAAATGGCAGCTGCAGCTGCTTAGGATCCCTCTTGTTGACCTGAAGACTAATGCGATCGGACGGTGCTCGTGCCTGTTCTGCTAGACTGCAAGAGTTGCTGTTAAATCAGCTTGCTTTCCGGTTGTTATTGGTACGCCCCTCTATTTTTGAAAAAATTTCGGATTTTGAGCTGCGCATAGCCTAATGTAGAGGAAAGCGTGGGTTACAAAACGAGAATGCTCCCAGCACTCTAGGACCTTTCTTCAAAAAGTTATGTGTCTTTTAAGTTTTTCCTTCAAAGCCTAAAAAGCTCAACTTTTTTTAGTTTCATAAACTTTCTCTCCTTCTGAGTAAATTCAAAATTCTTCTTGCACATAGCCTGATAGAAGAAACTCTTTTTCTTCACAATGAGATGTCTTCCAGAATTTTCCGATGAGCTTTCGTGGAGATATAAGCACCACGGCAAATGCCCTTAAATAAGTGACCTATGTACAAAATGCGTTTTTTCCCGAAAACTATTTTTTTGCTACCAGACATCATTAAATCGCATTAAGACCCGCCTTAAATTTCATCCAATCGAGTTAAAAATTTTACGATAGATACTCCAGGTCATGGCTTAGTGGTAGATTTCTGGAAATGTTTTTAAGACCGTTCTTTACCGACTTATAGGGTATCTAAAATTGAAAAATTTGGTTTTTGAGACGTTGTTCAGTATTCTTCCTGTAACTCGACGAGGAAAGGTCTTGAAAAAAATTACTAAAAATCTACCTCTGCGTTGTGGCCATGAGTATCTGTAGCAAAACTTCTAATTCGATCTGATGAAATTTAAGACGGATCGTAATGTGGTCCAGTCAAAAACCGAGTTTTCTGGAAAACTTGTGAACAGCAATAGTCAGAAACTTGAAACAAAAACGAAAAGTTCTGCACTGAGTTTCCAATCAGTTCTGAAAAAATCAAGCCTTCGTGACTTTTAGTTTTTATTTCACAGCATTTCTACAGAAAGCTCAAGAAGAGAGTGGAAAATACCCTTAATTTGGGAATGAATACTTTTGTTTGAATTGCCCTGGGAAGTTAATTTTGATTTTTTTCTCTTCTTTTTTTCAGGCATATTAACTGAAAACGGTGATCTGTTACAATTCTTGCCCAATAAAGACATCACTAGTTCGATCAACGTCCCATCAATATATGTGGCGTATTTTTCAACGTTTGCTGCTCTCTGTTGGCATCTGTTGTTGTATGAAAATTCAGTTGAAAATCTGTTTGGTCCTATATTAGCTGAGCATGCCATAACAAACCAGGATATTGTTTGCCGCATTGCTGGAATTTCTCGACGTACACAAGTGTGCCATTTTGTTCGTGCTCGTCTACTGTCAACAATGAATTTACTATCCATTCGTTC